GGAGCCTCTTCCAGCCCCGTCATCCACCTCTTCCCATTTCCAGTGAGCCTTGACCACTGGTCCATGTTTTTGTGCCCATGTTAAGTGGCAGGTGCCTGGGCCTCTGCCTGGCCCCACCACCCCCTCCTCTGCCTCTGCTCACCCTTTCATCAGGGGAACAGAACAGTCCGCGCGGGTTTCCATACTCTGTGCATCAGCTTCGCCTGGATAACGTAAACTCAGATTCCCAGGCCCCCAGCGGTGGAGCCTGGGGAAGCTCCCCAGGGTGACTGTGGCGTGGGTGGTCTCTGCACCTCACTTGGGAACACCCTGGTTTGGGGGAGGTCCAGATGTCCAGGTGGGACAGATGTCCCTCTCCTAGGGAGCTGCCGGGACCAGGACACTGCTTCTCGGCTGCTGGTGAAGCAATTTGCCTCTGAACAAATCTACAGGATCAGGTCCCAGGGGTGGTGTATTTCAAGCTGAAATTCACCTTGGAGAGGCAGCCTGTCTTCCCATCCAGGCACCGGGGTGTTTCCATGGCGACCTTGCCACTCTACCATCTTTTGTCATCCCTTCCAACACCTCTTCTTCTGTTTATTCCAAGTCTGTGCCCCAGTCCTTTCTCAAATCCTCTTCCCTTGGGGACTCACTTCCTCCAAGTCTCTTTTCTCTCTGTGGTTATTTAAGATCTAAAGAAGCAACACACTCTCTGCCCCCTAGCTGGTGCCTAATGCGACAGACTGGGAGAGCCTCTCTGTCGTGGGGTAAATGCACCTCTCCCACCCGGCAAGAATGAGACTCCACGGGGAATAACCGCCAGCCCCAGTGCAGACCCTTTCTCTGCTGTTCTGCATTCAGCCATTCATTGGTCATTGACAAATCTCCAGATCTGCGCAGCCGCAGGAACGGCACTGTCCGATCATGCTCCTCACGCGGTGGACATTTCAAGCGAGATCGAGAGCAGGAAGCCAGTACGCCCAAAAAGGCAACTTCAGTGCAGAATAAGTACTGTCGAGACCAGGACAGATGGTAACGAGCTGCGGCGGGAGGGGAAGTTGTTTCCACTAAGAACTCGAGGGTCAGGGAAGGCTCCCTGCGCTAAAATTTGAAAAAGCAAAATCTTGTCCAGCATGAACCATGTGTCAGATACAAGTCTGAGCATTTTACCCACATGGTTTCATTTACACTTCGCAACCTCACGGGGAAAGCATTACTGTTATCACCACTTTACAGAGGAAGAAACTGAGGCACGGGGTGCAGGGGGTTAAGTCTGAAGTCACACTGTTAACAAGGTGCAGAGCTGGTCAGAAAACCCAGCATAATGGCTGGGAACCCATAGGCTTTACAGCTCAGCCCTAACCTCTTGCCCAAGTGACACCAAGGAACCAGAGACCGCAACTGTCTGTTATCTCTCTAAGGTCTTGGGTAGACATAAGGGGAAGTCAGTTGGGGCTGCAAGGAAGATGTCCCACCTCCATCCTCCCAGCCTAGCCATTCGCCCATCATTCCATCAATCGTCATCTGGTATTCAGGAGCTTTTATGAGACGGAGGCAGGGCAGACACTGGACCCTGCCGTCACACGTCTGTATGTGTGTGTTGGGGGAGGGCGCAGGTGGGGGGATTATTAGAATAGTAACTGCTATGATGAAGACCAGTAAAAAACCAAACATGATGTAGGAGCAAACCAAGCCTTGCCTGGGGAAGGGGAAGGTGGTGTGTGTGGGGCAAGAGGCGGGGAAGGAAGACATGTAAGAGGATTCAGAGCCCCTGACTTTGGGTCGGGCGTCCCCGCAGCGTGGGCGGTGGCCTGACACTGACAGGTGCAGGCGACGGAGAGGCGCTCGGGCCAAGGCGGGGCATGAAAGTTTGCAGTGTGTTCCGAGGACAGTGAGTCCGCAGGTGCGACGCAGCTAAAGCCAGGGAGGGGAGGAGGGCCGATGAGTGTTGCCAGAATCCCAACATTTCTGGAGGAAACAGAACTCAAAAAGAGAATTTAAAAAAAACCCCAGCACTCCGTGGGATTGGAAACCACACAACGGCAAGATCCTGCCTAGAGATTCCTTTCCCGTAGGTGGCCCCTGCGTTGATCTCAGCAGTCACATCACAACAGCCTTCAGGCCACCATCTCTGTAGCACTTCCTGTGCACCAGATGCTCTACGAAGCCCGACACAGACTTTACTGTACTTAATCTTCACGCAACCCTACAGGCAAGTGCCTAATATTTTCTCTATTCCATATGCCCTGGTATTAATAAAGAAAAAGAAAAAGAACCTAATTATTTGCTCTACAGTGGTGGAAAGTGAGGCTCAGGGAGATTGAAACTTGTCCCAGATCACGTGACTAACATACGGGAACTCCGGGCTTTGAACCCGAGTCCACTTCAAAGCCAGTATGTCAACCTCTACACCATACGTGTAGGTCCTTGAGGCTGTGTTCTAATCGTTGCCTTTGATTTTCCGGCAGGTGCCACATCGTTAGACTGACGGCTCCATCCCTACCTCCCCGCCAGTGGTTTGGCTGTTTCAATGAACTGCCCAGATGCAGGGTATCTTGTTTCGTTACTGCTCTTGCTTCCAAATTTGGGTTTGACGTTCTTTGCGCAGAAAATGCATTTCACTTGAGAACTGAGCAAAGACAATGCCAAGACTATGTTGTAGCCTCATCAATACTCGTCATAAGCTGGTAGAATCTAAAAGGTCGATAATTGGGGCTTAATTACAGCCTTTCCACTCCAGCCCCCCAGCCTGCCATCTGGAGCGTGTTGCATCCCAGAGCACAATCTCTCATCAGCCTTTAAATTCCAAAATTTCCACATGCCCCCTCCCCTACCCCACTGTACTGGTTTACAGTAGACTCAAAGTCTTTCCATTACACTGAGTCTGTGTCTAGGAGGAGGATCTCAGCCCTGCATCATCGATAACTTTGTAAGACAGGAACACACGTGTTTAATGTTGGTCTCTGTGACCTCAACCAACTGTGTCCATTTGAATCCTTCAGACCTTTTTTCCTGTTTCTCATTGGCGGTGGCCGTAGTTTTAACATTTGTTTTCCTAAGAAAGTCATTTTGGTATTAAAAGCTGAAAAGTTTGGTTATGTGACAATTTCCTTGACATCGAATTTAAGATATTATTCCAGAGTAGCTATAAGATTTTTTGATTCTA